AGATAGTGTTAGCTAATTACTGCATTGTAATTTGTAAAAAATATCGCCAAACCACGGACTTAGATAATCTTATTCCGTGGCCAAACTGAACTGTGACATGACCTGGTTTGAAGTGACGTAACCCAAGCCGCCATGATGAGCGCTTCTCACTGATCGTAATTATGATCATTAAAAGGTATATAATTATGTCTTTCACCAGGAGATATGCACCAGCGGTTACTAAACATCGAATTACTTATTAATTGATATGTTTTTGTAAGCAAGTAAATGTTTTATGTAAAATATTGCTAAAATGATTCGATGTATGCCGATATGCGCACACGTGTGTGATGAGATAATTTAAAGAAAACAAGCAACAAAATACACATTTTACGTAGTTTCTTCTTGGTTTTTAATATTATTTTACATCAATGAAAAAAAAAATCATAGAAATATATAAAAAAAATTATTCATGGATCGATTTTCGGAGCATGAACATCGGTTTTTTTCCAGATTTTTTGGGTGCGCAAAATATTCGAGTAGAAGCTTTTTCCTCAAAAAGTACCTGCGTAAATTACACAGGTGCGCAAATTACATGGGTTTTTAGTTAAATTCACCTACAGAATGAAAAAAATATGTTCTAGGTCCCAGGAGTGTTCTAAGGGGACACGCTTAAGCATTGATTGGAAACTGTTCGCTGTGTTGAAAGTAAAAATACAAAAAGACAAGAATCAGATACAAAGAATCCTTTACGATACGCCACTGACCGAGGAGTACTTATTAAATGACTTGAACTTTACACATTCCAACTAGAGCCTACTCTGTATGAGTAGAACCGACAATGGACTTTACCACGGCTTTATCCCCCCTGTTGCCAATCTAAAAAAGAGTTGTGACGTATGGGATAGTGTATGTGTGTAAGTGTTTCTGTGTTTGTGGTAAAAGTAATAGTGTTTTTTCCGTGGAAGTTTTAGTGCTAAAAGGAACAGATTTCTTGGTATACAGGTAAGGTTAGGCATCACTGATTACTTCATATGAAATGTATGTACAGTACAGTATATGACTATGAAAATACACCCTTCAAATTATTTTTCATAGTTTTATCAGTTCTCATATGATATGAATCTCATGTGGCGGTATTATTTATCACACCTTCACAAAACATTTGATTTCAAGTCTTCTGTTAAGATATTTAAGGAAAGAAATGATTTCAAGAGAACAAGCTATACAGAATAATTCAATAAATCCGGCAACCCTCCAACTTTTGATCGGTATGTTCTAATATCGGTGATATACATATAATTTATTTATATGTTCTGATTGTGACATCTTGTGAGCTGCGGGGTGGGCGCTAGTAAACGAAAGGACAAACAATGGGATATTTAGTTGCTTAGTCTGACAAAACGATATTTTGATCTAAATTAGCAGAGTGACGCTGTCACATAAATTAGTTTCTCCATAATTGTTTAACATAAATGTCAATGCTGTATGAGGCTAATATTACTATGGGATGTCAGTTATAATTAGATGATCTGAAAATTAAGAGTTGAATTGGTTTGAACAAAAATAACAACTTTTAAGGATCATCAGCATAGGGAGATATACTTAGTATTATGTTATATTCCATTGGTTTCCTGACTAACTACATTACATATCATTCCCCAACATCACTGGGTTTCAGTAAACCATGGCCACATTTGGGATTTGCATTACCTAATACATACTAACTTGCTTTAACATGCATGCTTGATCATTTCCACTTCAAGTGTCAGAACAACAAAACACATTAACAACCATATTGATTGCAACACAAACGACCCATAGGCCTTTTGTAATGCATGTGCAATATTTTTGAGGAGCACATGCATATGGTGTTACCCATGTCAAAATCACGTCCTGTCCCATCTGGATTCAGTGTCATCATTCTGGTGACTTCATTTCTGAACAGATATTGATAAACTTTATAACATGGTCAAGTATTAATTAATAACTTGAAGGCTCGAATGAGTTTGTATTGCAGGGTTCCGAGGTATATAGTCACTGTTACTGTTTTATAGAAATTTGTCAAAACCAACACAGTGACATCCGACTCTGGTGGCTTTGATTTTTGAATTAATTTTATACACTGGTCAGGTTTAAGAATACCTTCAGTGCTTTCCTTCCCCCCCCCCCCCCCCCCCCTCAAATAAAACAACAAGCTCTTTCCATGTGCTATACACTGAATATATAATACTGTTTTTGCAGTGTGCCCGTCTGGAACCTGGGGTGAGGAATGTGGAGAAACATGTGCAGGTTGCATTGGAAGCCTATGTAATTCTATCAGTGGCCACTGTACTTATGGCTGTGTATTTGGTTACAATGGACCATTGTGTGACATAAGTAAGTAGGATATTTGTTGACAGCACTATAACTTGTTTTCCTCTATTAATTAATGTCAAGTTACAAGGTTTTGACCTTTGGGTGATTTTGGATGATTATTCTTTGCAAATTTATATCAATTATACAAATGTAATGATTTTTGTCAACGATTACTGTTTCAAAAAATATAATTAGCACATTTGCTCTAATATATGAAGTGGAACTGGACTGGATTGATCACTATAGCAAGCTCAAACTGCTGATTATTAAATCGGCAAAAGCTAATTAAAAAAATGAGGATTTTTTAATTAAAAAGTAAAGGGTAGCTTAACCTTAACTGCTTTTCTGAGATCAAAATATAATTTGAAGACTTTTTACTGCCATAATTTAAAAGAAAATACTATTTTTATCAATTGTGCAAACATTCATGAATTCTAATAACACATTATGTAAAGTTTGTTTGATTTCAAGACCAACGTTAGCAGACTGACATATTATTTTCTCTGTTTTTTTTTTATTTTTCTCATATTATCCTCTATAAAATAAGGTATATGGCTCCAAAAGAGTTAGTCAGTGGAAAATTGTGAATTTTCACAAAAGCAGATACTTATTGTTGTTGTCTGGTCTGATATCACTGTAGAGTTACCGGGCTGTTAAGCAATTATATTAAACTACCTACCTAATTACTGTTTCAGAAAACAATATATGTGTTAAAACAGACACATTGGATGTTTATGCTGAACGAGAGACTACGCTGATTGTAATGGCACAGTACTTCACCCACCCACTGTCCAAAATTCATATAAAGTTTGGCAATGAAGAGCCTTGTTTGTTAGACAGCGACTGGGTTCACCTTAATGTAACTACAGGAATAGTTGCCTACAAAGGTGTCAGTGTGAATGTAACCGGCTTCACCCACCTCCATGTGGTTTATCATATGTTCTTTGAACCGACTACGGTTGTTAATGTCACACTTGACAACCAGGGCATCATCAACTATCGCAATGTTACCTTCAATGCTCACCAACATCATATTGCTAAGGACTGTTACCAGAATGCCACAATAAACAATGCTAGTAGTGATATCTTATCACCCATCCCAGTGGAACGCAGCTCAATCCATACTTACTCTGTCAACTGGATAACTGATCATAATTGCCTTGAATTCCATGGTGTCAATTCTGTGGTAATTATAGCTTATTTTAATAATTGTTCAATAACTAGTAAATATGTTTCTTCATTCTTGAGAAACATCTTTTCTGTTTTTACCAATGGTAGTGATCCTTGCTTGAATTGTAGGTGACCTTGGGCCATAGCACATGTACAGTGTCTGTTGCCAACTATTCTCTTTAAATACTAAAAAAGGCCTACAATTGCTTCCTGTGTTGATAACTGTCAATATCAATCAGATGAATGTCTTGACTGATTTCAAAGTCATGAGGTAAATGTGCAGAAATCTTAAAGCTTGACTTTGTCTGAAAAAACACTTATTAGTCCCCTACTGGTTTCCTCTTTGTCCTTCTGTGTACGTATATACGTAAGTAACACCAATGTTTATCAGCGCTCTAGCGGCTTCATTCCTTGAGGGATTTTGATCAAACTTCACACAATTACAAAGGACCATAATATCTCGGACAAGTTCAAGTTTCAGGGTTGTCGGGTCAAGGTCAAGGTCACTGTTACTTTTTGTTTAGAAAATTCATTGTCAGCGCTCTAGCGGCTTCATTCCATCAGGGATTTTGATCAAACTTCACACAATTACAAACAACCATTATATCTCGGACAAGTTCAAGTTTCAGGGTTGTCGGGTCAAGGTCAAGGTAACCGTTACTATCCATTGTCAGCGCTGTAGTGCCTTAATTCCTTGAGGGATTTGATCAAACTTCACACAATTACAAAGGCGCACCATAATATCTCGGACAAGTTTGTATTTCAGGATTGAAGAGTTGAGGTCAAAGCCACCGCTACTATTTATACAAAATCCTGGACAAGTTGAAGCCAGTGATTAAACATAGGCCGTATAGCTATATAGGATCAAGACATTGGCCTGTCACAGCATGCTTTATTTGGTACAGGACTGACAAGTTTGTTCAAACAAAAGACCTTCATTTACTGAGAAAAACCAACTGAAATCTTCGAACACACATTCATTAGGTATAGAATATGCTATTAAGCTTGTTAAATGTTACTTTTCAAGTTGTGACCTGAGACAATCTCACAATTGTATTTGACATTTCATAGTGACAGCATTATAAAGTATGATATTTGACATGTCATATTGACAGCATTATAAAGCATGATATTTGCCATATCATAGTGACAGCCTTACAAAGTATGATATTTGACATGTCATATTGACAGTATTATAAAGCATGATATTTGACATGTTGTATATATAGCATATTTGACATGTCGTAGTGACAGCCTTATATAGCATATTTGACATGTCGTAGTGACAGCCATATATAGCATATTTGACATGTCGTAGTGACAGCCTTATATAGCATATTTGACATGTGTAGTGACAGTCTTGTATAGTATATTTGACATGTCGTAGTGACAGCCTTATATAGCATATTTGACATGTCGTAGTGACAGCCTTGTATAGCATATTTGACATGTCGTAGTGACAGCCATATATAGCATATTTGACATGTCGTAGTGACAGCCTTATATACAATATAGCATATTTGACATGTCGTATTGTCTTGTAGGGTCAGACAGAGTCATGCATTAATAAATGGTATATTTAGCTAATTAGGGCCCCGTATCGGAGATACGGGTGCCCTATAGTAATCACTCTGTCTGTCTGTCTGTCCGTCCACAAATTTTGTTCTTGGCTGATAACTTTGGTACTTACTGACCGATGTACATGAAACTTGGTCAAGATGTTCAGTTCATAAAAATACACATTGATATAAAAAGTCAAGGTCAAAGGTCAAGGTCATCAGGTTCAAAGGTCAAGGTCAAATTTTACATATTTTCACTGATAAACATTTTGTTATGACGTTATGAAGCAAAGTTGATCAGAATTGAACAAGGAGTCAACTGACCAAAGGTCAATGTCATTGGGTCAGGGGTCGAGGTCAAATTTTGTAGCTTTTCACTGGTGAACATTTCGCTATGACATTATGAAGCAAAGTTGTTCGGAATTAAACAAAGAGACACACTGAGGTAAATAGTCGAGGTCAAAGGTCAAGGTCATTAGATTCAAAAGTCAAGGTCAAATTTTGCATCTTTCCACTGATGAACATTTTGTTATGACATGATGAAGCAAAGTTGATCAGAATTAAACAAGGAGTCAACTGACCAAAGGGCAGGTTCAAAGGTCAAGGTTAAATTTTGTATCTTTTTACTGGTGAACATTTTGCTATGACACTTTAAGCAATGTTGCTCAGAATTAAACAAGGAGTCAATTGACCAAAGGTCAAGGTCACTGGGTCAAAGGTGAAAGTTAAATTTTGTACCTTTTACCCTGATGAACATTTTGTTATGACATTATGAAGCTATGTTGTTCAGAACTTAACACAGAGTCAACTGACCTTGGGTCCAGGTTAGGGGGTTCAAAGGGTCCAGGTCAATTTTTGTATTTTTCACTGATAAACATTTTGTTATGATATTAAGAAGCAAAGTTGGTTGGAATTAAAGAATAAGTCAACTGACCAAAGATCAGGGTCACTGGGTTAATGGTCAAGGTCATTTGGGTCCAAAGGTCAAAGACAAAGTGGCCCTGATCTCTGACTTTGACCCTGGCTCTTGATGGAGGAGGTATATAAGGTGAAATAAAACAAATCAAAGCTAACAAATGAGTATTGTACCGGTATTTACATTTATGTTAGCCCAGCAAATATGGAGGTGGAAGGAAACAAGACTTGCATAATAGTAGATGTAAAATGTATATTTTGCTTCCTTGCGATTCTTTTTGAAGTCCAAATGTCAAACGTCAAGCTCAGCTATATGGGCAGATTGCTTCTTGTTGATTATGGGGGATATATTGCCACAAGACGGGGCCCTTACTGACCTGTCAGTGTTCTAGTTGTTATATATTTGTTTTTTATTAAACAGCAATATGCCTACATCTGGGTTGTCAGATATTCTCAAGCAGACACATGCTGGATGGAAGGAAATACAAAAGTCGAGGATTCCATTTGGTATAATGGAACCGGAACACAGGAAGCTACATTTAGAATACCAGCAGACCTTTTGTTTATTGGATTTTATTTTATCAATATTAGAGCATATATTGAGTTATCAGTTGGAGGATCGCAGGTAGATTTCTACAGAAACATTAATGTAAGTATATATATCACAGGTAAGTTTGTAGAGACAATGATTAAGACTGTATTGTAAGAGACAGAGTTATGCTGCCAGTACAACAGTATATCATTTTACTGCTATGAGCTGACAAAAAGGGCAAAGTGAGCTAATGCCTTGACTTGATGTCCATTGGTGTCCGACATCGACTTTTCATTAAAGGTTATCAAATTACTCCACACATCGTCATCAGCGTCCATTTTCGTGACGTACTTCCGAAAAAAACTTTGTCCTGAACACTTGAAAAACATTTAACTAAATTTAGTCTGAAGCATTGTTAGATAAAATGGATTCAACAGAAACAGAGGGTGTGACTCCCTCCCCTGGGGGCCAATGGGACATTGTATATAGAACAGAGGGTGTAAACTTCTTCAGTTCAATTACCAGGTAAGGGATCTTTAATTTATTTGATCTATTAGCATCCTTGGGCTAAATATGGTTGAACATTGTTCAAAAGGAGGTTGTGATCCCCACTGAGGCAGGAAGCTGGACATAATAGAGAAATATGTTGATATTTAAAACCTAACTCTTTCAATGCTGCATGGTAAAGGGACTTTAAACTAATTTGGTTTATAGAATTCATTGTTGAGGGGACTCAACTTTGTGTAAACTGAAGGTATGGCCCCTCTGAGAACAGAGGGGTGAGACCAACAGTGTAAGCTAATTAGATATGGCTAGGCTCGGCACCCTTTCGCTAAGGGGACATAACTGTATAAGTGGAAGGTGTGGGAACCTCTGGTGTCAGAATATGACCTGGACCATGATACCAAGCGAGGCTATAGTCTTGAAATTTATTAGTCCCCCAACATTTCCCTTTGGGGGCTATAGGTTTGCACTCGGTGCGTCCAAGAAGTTTGTCCGGGACATATCTTCTATACTATTTCACATGGAGTAACCAGATTTGGTGTACAAGGACATCTTAAGATGGCAGAGTGCAAGAAGTAGCTATCGGTCGGTCGGTCGGTCGGTCGGTCCCATTTGGCGGAGTATTGGCCCCTTGAACAACATAAAACGTAATTATCTGCTGGGTTTTGTTTCTTTGCAATAATTATAACAAATGTTAACCGACGTGGTTCAATTTTGATGAAAATTGGTATATAGGGGTATTAGGAGACTGCAAATTTAACCACAGAGGTTTCGTTGCCATAGCAACCATATAGCAACCACAAGAAGGGTTCTCATTGGTGGAAATTCAGGTATTGTTCGATTTTGATGAAAATCATTAAAGAGGGTATAAGGGGACTGCAAATTCAAATAGCAACCCCATGGAAGCTTCTTATTGGTCGAAATTTAGATATTTTTCGATTTTTTTATGAAAATTGGTATATATATAGAGATATTAGGGAACTGCAAATAAAACCGCATAAGTTTCCTTACCATAGCAACCACATGGAGGCTTCTGATTGGTCGCATTTTAGATATTGTTTGATTTTGATGAAAATTGTTATATAGGGGTATTAGGGGACTGCAAATTCAACCACAGAGGTTTCATTGCCATAGCAACCATATAGTAACCACAAGAAGGGTTCTCATTGGTGGAAATTCAGATATTGTTCGATTTTGATGAAAATCATTATAGAGGGTATAAGGGGACTGGAAATTTAGTTATTTTTTGATTTTTTTTATGAAAATTGGTATATAGAGATATTAGGGGACTGCAAATACGTTCCGTTGCCATAGCAACTACACAAAGGATTCTGATTGGTTGCAATTTAGAAATTGCTCAATTTCACTCAAATTTAGTGTACATTGTGTACGTAGGTGACAATTTTGCGACTATGGGGGAAATCTGTAATGGTCCCCCATTACAATTAGTACTTGTTGCTGTAGATATTGTCAAGATGTTTCAATCAACCAAATTCCTATGTACATCCAGATCATGCTAAGTTTGCCAACCGATGTGATTTGTGCATATTTACGGATAATCAATGAGGTATAGGGCTTTTTTTTTTCTTCAAGTTTTAAGCTATACATTATGTCTCAACAGCACGATACTCCCATATGTTTAAACCTAACCTCAATAATGTTAACCTACAATATGTCCTGCAAGCGGGGGATATAAATTCCACGAATTTGCTTGTTGGAGTTCAGATCGAGTTATAAATATATTTTCTGAACAGTAAAGAGTTATCATCATGCAGCACCTGTCAGATAAATGATTTAATGCCTACTCGTTTCTTAATACCAATTAAGTGATTCCCAGTTATGGTCAAACTTTGGCCAGAGATTGCGGGCCTCGTAGTCAAATATGTTAACAGACAATCTTATATATAATGTCAGCTAGTAACTCAGACTAAGCTTATGTTAGAGAAACTGTCGGTGTATACAGAGAATGTTAAACATATTAATTATTTCAATGTTAGTACAGTGTTATAGGTTTGAGACCTGTCATGTGTTAAAGTGTAAGTAAAATGTAGTTATTAAGTTGTTACAGAGTACCCAAAAAGACAAGAGCTTTTTATTAACATAGACCCTATTATTAATGTCTGTTGTCCAGTCAGTGTTTTCCTTAATCAACTTCTGCCTAACAAAAAGTCCAGGGTCACATTTTGGCTGTATGGTTCTTGATCAAATGAATTTTCACAACCAGGCAACTTCAATTTCACAGGGTTCAAATGCTTGATCAACTTCTTTGTATAGCCAAGTTGCTTAAGTCATGATAGTCTTTAGTAGTATGCTGGAGGATTCATGTTGTTCAAATGAATACCCTAATTAACCCTGGATCTCCTTTCAATAATCGAGGGATATAAAGTGTGTTAAAATACTTGTGACTTATAATTAATTCTTAATAGCAAAGTGGCCCAGTAGCATGGAGTACTCTGGTGTTAAGGTGGCTCCACCCTTTCGCAATTAGCCAGCAGAATTCAATGAAAGTTTCTCATAATGGTTATGTCAATATGTAGATACGATTTTATGAAAATGTAAGCATTCCAATAATCTGGGGGATTTTTTGTAAAAAATACTGAAAAAATGAACTTTTGTCAATTCAACACTTTCACATTTTTTGAGTGTGTGGCCTTGTTCAAAACTATTACAACAATAAAATAATGAAAAGAAACATTGCTGATCAACCCTACAAATATTGTATTTATCATAAAATATCTACAACATGTTACAAAAAGTGTTGTTTATTGAAATTGTATGGATAAAAGTTACTGAATACAAGCTTAAAGCAAACAGGACACATAGTGTCATACAAAAAGAGTGAAATATTGAACCAAATACACACAAAGTCTTTATAATTCATTTATTTTACATTTTACAATAATATTGATCCTGATGGGAGTTATGTCTACCTTGAAAAAAATCGGAACTTTTTGCAGAGGGATAGAATTTATACAATGACACTTATTTTCTTTACTATACCAAAAACGACGGAAATAAATCAAATTACTATATTTTATTGTCACTTTACTGTTCTTTTATGGAACAAAATTACTCTCAATCATGTACACTTTGGACATCATTCCATAGCCCGCTTAAGCATGGTAAATTTTCATGTCAGGTACATATATGTAACCATAGGCTATCGCATGGTATGCCGTTATCACGTGCACGCACATGCACTTGCATTTTCACAGAGTTATTGTAATTGCATTTGTGGAACGATTTATCTCACAGAGCGTAACTCGCTCCACAACAAAAGTCGTAGCGACCAAGAGCTTGTGAACTACTGTTAATATGTGATACGTACAGGTGAGGTCGGTAAACAAAACACATCAGTCTGCATTCCATGCGCCTCATACGACCTTCTTGAAGTCGTCTGATCTTATGTCAGTGTCTTCCCGTGAGTTAATTAATGTCTGTCTATCATAAGCTTTATTTTAGAAGGACGTGTGATTACACATTTCTAAGTTAAGTCTCAATATCGGGTGTTGACATATCATCGTCACGCACGTGTACCGTTGTTTACCCAGTGTTACTATAATTTACACTACGGTAATGGAATGATCGATACGCAATATAGAAATGACGACATGAAAATACAACAAGAAAAACATGTGTATTACAAAGGGTGGGAAGTCCTTAAATAGTTTACAGCATTGAATTGCCCGATACACAATACGGAAATGACAGCACAAAAGTACAGTAAGAAAACCATTACATGTATTACCAAGTGTGGAAAGTCCTATAGTAAGGTTTACACTTGCATCCACTCGTTCCTTTTGTCAGATTTTTAACGTATGATATTTAAGTGTTAGCTACTGATGTAATTTAATGTTTCAGGGTTACATTGAGATAACTCTGAACAGTGTAAGAGCATCCTTAGGTTCCCTGCTTTCACCAATCCACCTGTGTAGTGAAGCGCTGCTGCTCAATGCCAGCACCTCCGAGGATCCCGAAGGAATTTTGACTCTCGCAGATTTCCAGTAAGTTTGATAGTACCAGAATAGAAGATGCAAAATGTGAGCAAAAAATATTACTTTTCTTCCTTGTCTTTAATTGCCTGATACCTTCCATATGTGAGGTCCACTTTGTTTGACATCCTCACTGCCTGGGTTCCTCTTTGCACCAGTTGGGCCGGGGGTGTCTCATTGTCTTTTTTGGGGGGGGCGTCTTCCTTACCTTGATCATGAGCCCCAAATACCTGACATTCCACCTGGCCTTTTTTTCTCAACCCATAAGTCATAAAAATATCTATAATATCATTTGTGTTAGAAAAGTTACAAAATTTTGCATGCTTAGTCTAAAAACTTGCTATATAGTCTTTTTGATTAATTGGTTTTTGTCTCACCGCCACGAATTGGAAGCAATACTTAATTAGGTGTTGCTTTTCCGGCGACAGTGGCGTCAACATTAAGTTTTTGTTTTTAAGTTAGTTTTTGCTTATAAATATCATGAAATCTTTGCTCAGTTGTTCTATATATTGTTCTATATATTATTTATTGTTTTTTTTCTATTGGTGCTAACATTATCCCATAGATAACTAAATCCTGATTTGTTGATTTCAGCTTTGCTGTTTAAAATCCATCTAGCATTTGACAACATGCTTTCCTCGTAATATGTTTTTTAGGTCACCTGAGACAAAGTCTCAAGTGACCTATTGCGATCCCCTTTTATCTGTCGTGCGTCCGTAAACAATTTACATTTTCGACTTCTTCTCCAAAACCCCTGAACAAATTTCATTGAAGTTTTGCAGAAACCTTCCATGGCCAAAGGTCAACAAAATAGTTGCCGGTTTGGTCCCCTGCCCCCAGGGGCTTGAGGGGCGGGGCCAAAAGGGTCGAATTGACTGAAATTTCAAAAATCTTCTTCTCAAGACCCATTTATGGTAGAATCAAACACTCTTCATAGATGGAAGGGTCTTAAGGTGCTCTACCAAAATTGTGAATTTCATGACCCTTGGGTATCAGGTAAACTTTACTATAGTTTATATAGGGAAATCACATTTTGGACCAACATTTGTTTAATTTCCATTGGAAGTAATTAAATTTAGGTTAGCATTATCAGTATTGGATAGCAGTTTGATGGTATGCGCATATGAGTCCTGACTGACCCCCCGGGGCTGATGGGAGGGGCCAAAAAGGGTTGAATTGACTGAAANGGGTCTCACGTTTACCCCTGGGGAGGGGGTAAACTTTACTATAGTTTATATAGGGAAATCACATTTTGGACCATCATTTGTTTAATTTTCATTGGAAGTAATTCAATTTGGGTTAGCATTATCAGTATTGGATAGCAGTTTGATGGTATGCACATATAAGCCCTGACTGACCCCCCGGGGCTGATGGGTGGGGCCAAAAAGGGTTGAATTGACTGAAATTTCAAAAATCTTCTTCTCAAGACCCAGATAAGGTAGAAACAATCACTCTTCATAGATGGAAGGGTCTTAAGGTTTATGACCCTAGGGTCTCACGTTTACTTAAATTTATTATTGGAATTTATTATGGTTTATTATGGCAAATGATACTTTGAATATTACATGTTAATAACTTGATTGGAATTATAACCCTGAGTTGACAGTTTGATACTTTGAAAATTTTGAGCCAGCCCTACCCTCAAGGGCTGTAGGGTTGGGCCCAAAGGAGTCAGTGTGCTAAAATTTCTTCATTTTCCTTGTTTAGAATCAGAGGTGCTAGTTTCAAATACCTTTTAGTCTTAAATCTGTATGCTAGATATTGAATAAGGTGGTTTTAAGCTCACTTTTTGTTTGTTTGTTTGTTTGATTTTGTTTAACGTCCTATTAACAGCTAAGGTCATTTAAGGACGGCCTCCCCTATGTGCAAGATGCATGCGTGTAGTGTATGTGTGTGTATTTTGGGAGGCTGCGATATGTTAGTGTTTGTCTCCTTGTGATAGCGCGGAACTGATGCCGACTTTATAGTGCTACCTCACTGAAACATACTGCCGAAGACACCCAGCAGGACGCCCCACCCGGTCACATTATACTGACAACGGGCGAACCAGTCGTCCCACTCCTATCTTGCTGAGCGTTAAGCAGGAGTAGAAACTACCATTGTTAAAGACTTTGGTATGTCTCGGCCAGGGGACAGAACCCAAAGCCTTCCTCACAGGGGCGAACGCTCAACAAATGGCCAAAAGGGAGGCATTGTCAAGGGAGACATTAGGAAGAAGAAAGTTATTTAGAAAGGAGAGAAGAGATAAGGTCCCAAATTTAGTCGCCTCTTACGATCATGCAATTGGGGGCAGCAAGTACAATTCTTACGCCCTACCTGCAGGGCACCTGGCCCGAATGCCCAAGTGAGCTTATGGCATGGTGCGGCGTCCGTCGTCCGTCCGTTGTCCATCCGGCGTCAACTTTTTACTTTAAACAACTTCTTCTCATTAACCAAAAGGCCTGGGGTGTATTATTTTGCCAGAAGCATGCTGGGATGAAGGGCTTCCAAGTTTGTTCAAATAAATGACCTTGACTTATATTCAAGGTCACAGGGGTCAAATATGTTTTTAACCTTTAAACAACTTATTCTGAATAACCGAAAGGCCTTGGGTCATGATATTTGGCCAGTAACATACTTTGATGAAGGGCTACCAAGTTTGTTAAAATAAATGACCTTGATTTATATTCAAGGTCACAGGGGTCAAATATGTTTTTAACCTTTAAACAACTTCTTCTGAATAACCGAAAGGCCTTGGGTGATGATATTTGGCCAGTAACATACTTGGATGAAGGGCTACCAAGTTTGTTCAAATAAATGACCTTGATTTATATTCAAGGTCACAGGGGTCAAATATGTTTAAAACCTTTAAACAACTTCTTCTGAATAACTGAGAGGCCTAAGGTGATGATATTTGGCCAGTAACATGCTGGGATGAAGGGCTACTAAGTTTGTTCAAATAAATGATTTTAAATCATATTCTGATGAATACCCTTACGGAATTAACTTATATGGACTTATAAGTAAAACATCCCCCAGTTATAAGTAACTTATAAGTAACTTATAGTTGACTTATAAGTTGTATCATTTTTGGGGTAAGTGAAATATCAGTATGTGTAAGTATAAGCCAAATATCAGTCACATATAAGTCTATTTCACAGCGACTTATAATACACTTATAAGTGAAATATAAGTCAATATACAATTATAAGTCAGACTGGACTTATAACCAAAAGGCTCAGGATGTTGATATTTAGTCAGTAGCATGCTGGGATCAAGGACTACTATGTTTGTTAAAGTGAATGACTTTGAATTATATTCAAGGTCACAGGTGTCAAATTTGTTTAAAATCTTGAAACGACCTCTTCTGAATAACAATGGGTCCCAGGATGTTGATACTTTGCAAGTTGCATCCTGAGATGAAAGGCTATAAAATTTGTTCAACATAATGACTTTGTTCGACTTTCAATCACAGGGGTGAAATGTTTTAAAAGAAATTAACAGGATCTTTTGAATGAATTTTAATCATAAATACTGATATTTTGCCTGTAGCTTTATTTTAGATCACTTTTAAGGTTACAAGTGTGAGATTTATCCCAGGTGAGCGATGCAGGCCCATTGGGCCTCTTGTATTGTTTTTTGTCACTGAATAATATTTCTGTTCTTGTTAAAAACAAAATCAACTCTCTATAAATATATCAGGTGACCGTTAATGCAGTTACTAGCTCACCTGGTCCGAAAGACCAAGGTGAGCTTATGCCATACCGTGGCGTCTGTTCGTCGTCCGTCCGTCAACAATTTCTTTAAGTGACTTCTTCTTCTTAACCACTGATTGGAATTCAACTAAATTTGACTGGAAGCATCCCTAGGTGGTGGGGATTCAAAATTGTACAAATGGTGGGGCTGACCCCCCAAGGGGCTGAGGGGCTGGGCAAAAAGGGGTCAATTTGGCTATATTGCTACGAATGACTTCTTCTGTAGAACTATGCCATGGATATCAACCATATTTTAATGGAAGCATCCCTAGGTGGTGGGGATTCAAAAATGTACAAATGATGGGGCTGATACCCCAGGGGGCTGAGGGGCGGGGCAAAAAGGGATCAATTTGGCTATATTGCTACAAACGACTTCTTCTGTAGAACTATGCCGTGGATATCAACCATATTTGACTGGAAGTATCCCTAGGTGGTGGGGATTCAAAATTGTACAAATGGTTGGGCTAACCCCCACAGGGGGCTGAGGGGCGGGGCCAAAAGGAGTCAATTTGGCTATATTGCTTTAAGCGACTTCTTCTCTGGAAATAAGAAGTCGATGTCAACCATATTTAATTGGAAGCATTCCTAAGTGTCAGGGATTCAAAATTGTTCAAATGATGGAGCTGACACCCCAGGGGGTTGAGAGGTGGGGCAAAAAGGGGTCAATTTTGCAATATTGCTATAAGTGACTTCTCTGGAGCTAAGAGGTGGATATCAACCATATTTGACTGGAAGCATCCTTAGGTGATGGGGATTCATACAAATGGTGGGGCTGAACCCCCCAGGGGGCTGAGGGCGGGGCCAAAAAGGGGGCAATTTGGCTATATTGCTATAAACGACTTCTACTGTAGAACTATGCCATGGATATCAATCATATTTGGTCGGAAGCATTCATGGGAGGCAGGGATTCAAAGTTATACAAATGGTGGGGCTGACCCCCCGGGCTAAGGGGTGGGGTGAAAAATGTGTATTACTTGGAAATGGTTGAGATACCCACCATATAACCATGGTATACAATTGCTGAGTATAAAGAGAAGAATGCACATTTGCTTCCAGGATGGCTATAGGATCTGGCCCCACCCTTGGAGACATAGTCCCTGGGCCATAACTTTAAAACTGTTGAGATCCCCACCCCAAAACTATATATATAAATGCTGGGCATAATAAGACGAATGCACTCATGATATCAGAATAGACCCTGGGGTCTGACCATACCCCTAGGGACCTAGTTTGTTAGTCACAGCTTGGAAACAGTTGAGAGCCCCACCCTATAACGGTATATACAATGTTTTAAAAGAAATTAACAGGATCTTTTGAATGAATTTTAATCATAAATACCATATAACCATGGTATACAATTGCTGAGTATAAAGAGAAGAATGCACATTTGCTTCCAGGATGGCTATAGGATATGGCCCCACCCTTGGAGACATAGCCCCTGGGCCATAACTTTAAAACTGTTGAGAGCCCCACCCCAAAACTATATATATAAATGCTGGGCATAATAAGACGAATGCGCTCATGATATCAGAATAGACCCTGGGGTCTGACCATACCCCTAGGTACCTAGTTTGTTAGTCACAGCTTGGAAACAGTTGAGAGCCCCACCCTATAACGGTATATACAATTGCTGAGTATAAAGAGAAGAATGCACATTTGCTTCCAGGATGGCTATAGGATCTGGCCCCACCCTTGGAGACATAGTCCCTGGGCCATAACTTTAAAACGGTTGAGATCCCCACCCCAAAACAATAAATACAAATGCTGGGCAAAAAGAGACAAATGCAGTCACGATATTAGAATTGATCCTGGTGTCTGGCCACAACCCTAGGGACCTAGTTTCTGAGTCAAAGCTTGGAAACAGTTGAGATCCCCACCCCATAACCATACATAAAATTGCTGGGCATGAAGAATCTAATACATGTACAGATATGCTACAAGGATTGGCCTTGGGGTCTGGCATATTCCCTTGATCTCATTTGGAAAATATTTTGCCATGATTGCTTTGGTATCCTGGTGAGCGATACAGGCCCTCTGGGCCTCTTGTTCAAAGTTCTATTTTTTTTTTTACAAGTGTTGAATCATTTGAAGTTTTCTACGCACAGATAATGGCAATTTTTCCTTACTCACTGTAAATTAAGTTATTACAAGTGCTGTTATTTACTCCCAAGTTGTCCTTTATAAAAATTGATGTGTAGATTCTCAACACCCACAGCCTTATATGCCTCCGAACCCTATCCTACTGAACTGTAACCTAAGATGCTGTTAACATAGGTATCAAAAACAGGTGATTGAATTTCAATATTAGAATTATGATTTTTGAACTTATTGCAATGTGCATAATTAAAATGTTTTAGATTTTCCTGGACCTGTGTGATGGATGATGTGTTGCCTTGCTCCATCTTTGGAGTAGCTATTGGTAGTGACAACATCACCATGCCTTTTACAGGTATATGTGTAAACTAATTAATCCTTACAGTCTGTAGACGTTGGAACATCACATTGTAGTTTTTAGCTCACCTGGCCCAAAGGGGTCAAATATGTTCAAAACATTTAAACAACTTCTCCTGAATAACCAAGAGGCCTAGGGTGCCTAAATTTGGCCAGTAACATGCTGTGATGAAGGGCTATCAAGTTTGTTCAAATGAATTACCTTGACTTATATTCAAGGTCACAGGGGTCAAATATGTTTAAAACCTTTGAATGACTTCTTAAACAACTTCTTCTCAATAATCAAAAAGCCCAAGGTGATGATATTTGGTCAGTAGCATGCTGGGGTAAAGGGCTATCAAGTTGTCAAATGAATGGCCTTCACCTATATTCAAGGTCACAGGGGTCAAATATGTTAAAAACATTAAACAACTTCTTCTGAATAACCAAAATGCACAGGGTAATGTTATTTGGCCAGTAGCATGCTGAGATAAAGGGCTACAAAGTTTGTTCAAATGAATGACCTTCACCCATATTCAAGGTCACAGGGGTCAAATATGTTAAAAACTTTAAACAACTTCTTCTGAATAACCAAAA